CAGCTGTCCCAACATATGGCTGCTCCCATTTATCAGAATTCAGGTCTGTGCCTGGGACAAAGGCTGATAAAAATAATACTTTGTACATAAGTGACATTCAAGCAGATTATTTTATAGCTGTGTTATCAAGCAAATACTATTTTTTTGACCTAACTCTGAATTCAGTTTGTAAGTGGTAGGTCATTAGTGAAACTAATTTTAGCAAGGCATTTCTTATCAGTGCAGGTTTGTTGAAATAAAAAAAAAAAAGTAGTAAATTGTAACAATGAGCAATTGTGCAACACTATTAATGGGGCACCAGGGTGGTTAACTCATTAAATACTTCAGCTGTTTCAAACAACATTCATCAAAGTGAAATCTGATTAATTTTGCAGGGGCTTAGAGCATGGATTAATAACAAAACCAGTAATTTAAAATGTCAGCTATCAATACATGAGTATTTTAAAGCCACACTACCTTTTCCTGGCCTCCTGAACAATGTCCTTGGTCTTGAAGCTACTAGAAGTGGCGGGAACTAAGGATTTTGTGATCAGCATTATGGCAGTGTTGGTGTGCTGTGATGAAAGGTGTCTTATGAGTGTTGTGGAGAACACAGTGTGTGAGTCCAGGTCAGACCTGTGTTGTTTTAGAGCATCTCCAGCTGCTCACTGCAGGTTCTGAAGGTCCTAAGAGGGTCCTAAAGGGGTAAGGAGGGTTTCTCTCCATGGGTGAGGGGCAGAGAGGAGCTGGGTGGTTCAGGGAGCTGATGGAAAAGCAGCTTGTTGTGATGACCAGAGGAGATGTGAGGGCAGCTGTTGGGGCTGATGAGCAAACAGCACTGCAGGGAAGCTGGCCCTGGCAAAGCTGCTCTCCTGCATCTCCCTCCCTTTTTGGCACCCAGCTCCATGTGCAGTAGCCTCGAGGGTCATCAGCCCTGCTGTTCCAGTGGTTAAAGACCTCTCAGGAGCAGAACTACTTGCTGCTGTGGTTTCTCCTTGTGTGGGAGTAAAATCAGCTGCTTTTGGGAGCTCAGTTCCTTTTGATCCCTTGGTTCAAGTGTCTCCTTGGTGTTGCTGCATTCCAGCTGCTGAATTCCTGAGCAGTCATGAAAAGGAGCCAGACCCAGTCCTCGAGAGCTTTATTATACAGAGCTGGAAGCTCATTGATTCCGAGATATTCCTTTGCTTGCTCTAGTCCCTTGTTGTTTGTACCCTTAGGAAAATAAAGGCAGGTTTTATATTCAAACATAAACCACAGTTTCCCTCTGCAGGCTCAGCCTACCCTTTGATGAAATCCAAACAGCATGTGTAATAAATCCTCTGTGGAGGCTGTGATCCCTGATACTCCAGCTATTCCAACTGCCAGGTTATGGCAGTGATATTGCATATAGAGTGAGAACCTGAGTTCAAACACTTTTTAAAGTGAAGATGGAAAGTATAAGAATCCAATCCTGTATTATGAATCCTGTCTTCAGCTATGTGTGGGAGGAAAACTTTGACATCTCTGGTATTTCTTTCAGAATTAAATTAATACAGAACTTGCGGCGTTGTGTAGAACGCGTTTATGAACTGGTGATGAAATGAATTTCACTGTGCTGTTTAAATGCATTGAAGAGAGTCATGGCATGCACAGCTTCATACTGGAAAAATAAATAGTCAAATCAATAAAAAGTCCAGCTGAGCATGGTGGAGTGCTGGCACCACTTTGTTGTCCATGGCAAGCATCTCCCTGCCATTTATTGAAATTCTTCTGGCTTTTCTTAAAGCAGCTGAAGAAAGAAGATGAAACCCCTTCTTCCCAAGGTGCTGATTGCCGTGTGGGTGGATGTGTTTGCAGGTCCGGGATAGACTGTTTGATCTTGTGTCTCCACCCTTGATGAAACTCCCTCTCCCTTTGCCCTGGCAGATGCTCCAAGCACAAGGTGCATTTAGGATTTAGGGCAGGTGGGTTTTGGCTGCCAGCAGTCACTGTTGGCTGCCTGCCACGGAGCTTCCAGTTTGCCAAACCCAGCTCGGCTGCGTGGCTCAGGCAGTTGTTTCTGTAGCTCCGTGAGGCAGTACAGGCACCTTGTCCAAGGGTAATGCTGCTATCAGTAGTGCCTGTAATGTTGGCTATGCCAGTAAGTCCACATCTTTTATTCAAGATGTTCCTTGAGCATTCCTGAAATCCATGCTGTCATTAAGCTTTCCAAGCTGTCACGTTGTTATTAGCCAAGTTACTGTAAGTATTTTCCTGGACTCGGAGCACAACACAGAATTAGCTCTTTAGACTGGGTGGTTTTTTTGTCGGGTATTAATTCATCACTTTGGTGTAGCTATGGAGCAGCTTGGGTGCAGAACAGCAGCTCCTTTGCAGGGGATTGACAGGATTTGTACAGGGCAGGACTCTGGTTCTGACTCTCAGACTGCCACATCCCTCCGTCCCTCGGGGAAATGAGCAGCTCCTGGACTGTGCTGACCTCGTACCTCCAGATGGGTAACAAAATAAATAAGGGAATCATTTTGCTGTAGCAAACATTGTAGAGTTATCAAGGAAATTGTCATCCAGAAATTCCACTGAGTCACTTTTCTTGTAACTTTGTGTCCTCTACCAGTGGCAGTGCTCATTTCCTTGGCTCTAAAGCTGATCCTGTCCAGAACAATGGAAAATCCCTCTTGAAGCAGCTGCTGAATCTTGCTTGTATTTCTTGCTGCTGTCTTAGTGCAGCTGTGGGCAGCTACAGAGGTGTTTTACATCTGTGCTCATTTCTATTCAAGAAGAGATACCTCTGGAAAAATGTAACAGACCAGAGGACAGTCCTGGTTGTTCAGCTGTTTGTTTGTGGGCATTTCCCGTCTATGCTTTTGTAGCTGAGCAGGATTAAGGTTCTTCTAAAGCAACATCTAAGCTTTTTGTTGGCCTTTTAATTCCTGGCAATCACAGAGTTCCAACCCCAGCTGAATGCTGAGCTCTTTCTTAATTTATCCCAGTTTGTGCACTGCCTTGTGTTTTTCTTCCCCATCTTTGACATGTTGCAATGTTCCAGGGTGAATTAGTAGGCTGTCTTTTTTAAGAAAACAAAATTTTTGGGGGCAGGCAGTAGCATTTGTGTATTCTGTTATCGTGGGTGGCCTTCAGCTTGCAGGGGTCCTTGAAACAGGAAGGGAGCTGAACTCTGGGTACAGTTTTCCACTGCTGTGGAGGCTGTGAATGCTTGTTGGACTGTGCAGCTTTCATGCTGTTTAGATTTGTGAGTCCTGGGAACAAGTTAAACCTCCAAAGAGCACGGTTTCAAGTAGAAATTCTGTATTTTTGCAAAAGAAAGGATCTGTTAACTTCTGAGTGCAACAGAGAGCTTGGAAATTAACGTGCAGAGAGAAAAATGGTAATTATTTCTTTTATCTGTGCCATCTAAAGTGCGTGTTTGATTGCAGGGCAAAGCTAATTCAGATGGATGATAGATTATTTCTGTTTGTGCAGTGCTTTCCTCCACGTATTTTTTGGGATCTCATTGCCAGCCTAAGTGCAATCCACACTATTTATTGAGATCTGGTTGCCAGCCCAAGTGTTATTTCACTGCAGCAATGAGCACATCAGCTACACCACGAATCCATGGCGTGAATGTGTAGATTTGCACTTAAACACTGCAATGTGCTGAGCCTGCAGGGAGGGCTCCTGGCTGAGCTCACACTGTGGGGTTTGAAAGGCATCTGTCCAGGACAGCAGGGACTCTGACCAGCCAAATTCAGGTTTTGAAAGGATTAAAGATGCCTCTAAAGCAACAGATACTGGAACAGCACCAGAGTGCAAAATCTTCCCCATTCAAGTATATCAGCCCCAAAGATTTAGCACAGCTTTAAAAAAGAACATATTATACCAAATAACCTTTAGGATTCATACCAGCCCCGCTCCCTTGGGAATCTAGGGTTTCACAGTGGCAATACTTGCTGAGTAAAAAGCAGTGAATTGGCTGTGCAGCTGAAAGATGTTTTATTTCCAGAAGTTTATAAAACCAAGCAGTTGCTGAACACTACCAGTGAGGGAGCTGATTTTTAAGACATAAAAGAAACAGTTCAGGAGCTCCCATGTGAGAGCAGAAATGCAGAGGAGGCAATTTGTATTCAGTTTACCCATAAGTGATGACACATGGTGCGTGCTCCACAAACTGAATGCCCAGATGAATTCAGATTTCTTTGTAAACTCCCAAAAGCAAGTTTGTAGCAGTGCATTTCTGGAATATTGCAGCAGAGGCGGTCTGAGAAGGCTTTGGAACTGAGCATTTTGCACTGGACTGTGTTATGATTTTTGGTAAGTGTGTATATGTGTGTACACATATAAAATTTGATTTGAAAAAATAAGTTATTTTGTGTCTCAGCTGCAATTGTTTTCCCAAGCAAGTTGCTAAAGCCAGTACTTGATTTTCTTACATTACTGACATTGACCTACTGTGTGATGATTCAGCCTTGTAATGCTGTAAATTCAGCTGAGAACTGCAGTGTGTGAAATCAGTGGCTCAGCTGTCCTTGCTTTTATTTTATCTTTTTGGATTTGTAGCTGTAAATCTGTAGAGGGATTTAGGATAAAGCTGAGGAGTAGCCATCTATGATCCTGTTGCTGATTTTATTTAACTGTTCTGTGCCATATAATTTGAGCTTTTGTGTTCTTTTCCTGACACATTATTACATCCTGATAAGTATTACAGCTTATGTGAAATAGAAACAGCCTGTTACAGCAAACTCAGGATCTGATAATAGCCAAGTGGAACATAAATTTTATCTTATCTTCACTGTAGTCTCTTAACTCTATGAAGTTTTAGTAATGAAGTTCTCTTGATCTTTATTTGTCCTTTCTCACCAAAGCTGCATCGTGCTGGGCTGGGCGTGTGGGGTTTGCGTGCACTTGTCAGAGGAAGGATCAAAAATGACAAATGTGCTGTTAAAAATGAACCATGGGTGGGCAGTTGGCCTGCATGTCCTGCTGTGTTGTCACCTCAGCTGGCAGCCCGTGTCCCTGGCACCTCTGACCCGTGTTTTGCCTGGCAGGTACTATGTGGGCGAGCTGCTGTAACTGGTTCTGTGTGGATGGCTCCCCTGAGGAGATGCAGCCGCCGCAGGCAGCCCGAGCCCAGGCCTATTCCAACCCTGGCTACAGCTCCTTCCCCTCTCCCACTGCTTCTGAACAGAGCTGCAAAGCCTGTGGCTTGCACTTCGACAGCTCCTCCAGCAAGGTGAGTCCAGAGCCTGCCCTGCCAGGGGCAGCTGCCTTCATTTAATTACAGACACACGTTTTATACACATACCCTTGGATCTGAGGACATTCCCTATGGGAGAGGACAGATCCCCTTGCTCTGGGTCTTCAGTCCTCCTGTCACAATTAACAGGCATCATTAATGTGACTGGAAATCCTTCAGCAGATTTCCTCAACGAGAAAGCCAAGCTGCTGATAATCACTTAAAGGAGCATTAACTTGAACATGAGTTATTAAATTTCTTATTTAAAAACACTAATGTCCTTTAAAAATAAATATTGTGGCAAGAAATTGGATAATGTTTGTGCTTTCAGTACAGGAAGGTCTGCTTTGCCTGTTTACCAAACTATTGTTGCTCAGACTAAAAGCCAGTGAAGTTTTTTGAGGGTGTGTGTGTAGAACTGCTGAGCAAAAATAGCCCCAGACCAGACCCAAATCTATTTTATCTTACTTTTAAACTTGATTTGTGGGTATATAAAGGCCAAAATAATTGGTACCACCAGACTTAATTCAACAGCAAACTGTGCCTGGGGCATTGTTTGGATATGGTGAGTCCTTTAATGCTGCTTGAAAATGTTCTAGTGAGGAAAATTGTTCTGTGTCCACACTCTGACTTAAGAAATGTCAGATCTATAGTTAGTGAACTTAAGTATGTGAGAACTTAAAAATAATGGTGAATTCTGGTGACAGCCCTTTTAGATTATGTGGGAAAGTTCATAAATTTGTTTTCCTTGCACTTTTTTATTTATGCATGAGGACACACATCTGAGGAATGGTGAGTCTTGGCAGAGCTGCTGCTTTCTACTCCCAGGACAACAGGGATGTTGATGCATTTTTGCACTAAGAAGTGTAGTTGCTTCAGGAATCAAACTCTGGTGATAGATGTTACCCTGGAGCCAGCGCTTGCTGTCGGGCATGGTTGCAAATAGTGGATGGAGATAATTCTGAAATGAAACCATTTCAGGCAGTTGTGAGCTCAACAGCAGAAGCACAGCCCTGATTTCCCCAGTACCTCCTAAATACCTGTTCTGTATGAGCTGCCCCTAGAGCAGTGTCTTGTACAGAGGTGAGCTCTGACTGGGGAGAGGGAAGGCTCTGGTGCACGAATTGTAGAGGATCTGCTAAAGCTGTTGAGAACATTCCTGTCCCCAGCAGCTTCCCCCTTTTCCTGTGGGAGCTGGTGGCTGTACCTGTGGATCGTGTCCAGCTGTTCCTGCTCCAGGCTGTCAGGGAAATGGAGACTGAGGTTTATATTCTGTGTTCCAAAGGGGGTTCCCAAACCTCCTCCCACCTTCCTGCTGCCCCAGCTCCTGGGCAGTGATCGCAGGGAGTGACTGGAGCCCGGTGCTGCAGGTGGGGATGCGGGGAGAGCTGCAGGAGGGGCTGCCACAGCTCATCCACCAGGTCTCTGAGGGAGTGGAAACGTCACTGAGAACACACTGGTGTGTTTGTGAGCCATGGTAATTCCTCAGTGCTGTTGCTAAGGAGGGAGAAGTGAGAGAAATCTCACTGTGCTGCAAGGACAGTGTGGAAAACTGCATTCTCTCCTGGGAGAGGCAGCACCTTTGAACTTGTGTCCAGTTAATGTTTATTCTGAAATACAGTGGGTAAAAATTAATTCCTTCTATACTGCTGACCATGAAGATAGCCTAGATTGCTTTAAAAAAGCCCAAACCCACCAAACCAACAAAAACCCCCATGTGAAGCATTTCAGGGCTGTCTGACCATGCTGTGCTGTCAGGGAGCAGCACTCAGACGTGGCCTGACCTTTTAGGAACGAGTTTAAATGTACAACAACGTTTGAAACTGATCCTTCTGAAGAGACCAGTGCCTTGAATCCCTGCCCTTTCAGACAGAGTTCAGTGAAGCTGTAAAAGCTGCTTGATGCTGAGATGTAGCCAAAATATCCACGTTTAAACACTTGGTACTCAGACACAGGCTGAGGAGGTTGTTTTTCTCTGAAGATAAATCTTAGTGATGAGCTGCTAAGTCAGAGACATGCCTGGGTTTACTTTCACTTCCCAAATGTATCCTTTGATAACTGAGGCAGGATTACTGTTAATTGCAAGAATGTGTTTGATAGAACAGCCCTTGTGCTGCGTTTGCTGTGTGATGCCTCACGATGGGAGTGCTCAAGTAGGGGTTTTCTGGCTGGTGGAAGGTCCTTGGCAGTACAGGGCTTCCCTTTGGAGCCAGTTTGGCAATCTGGGTTTTTAAATCTCAATTCTTCTGATTGCTCCCATGTCAGAGTTGGGGGATTCAGAGGAGGGCAAGTGTTACCAACAGGGTTGTTTTCCACTTCTCTGCCTTTGTGGATTTGTTTTGTTTCCCTGCTTTAAGCACACACAGCCATCAGTTCCTGTCTCTGCCCTGAAAATTCCCCAAGGAACAGGATTGCTCCTGCAATCACAGGGTCACAAAAAGTCAATTACATATTAATTTTTTTATGGTGATGAAGTTAAGGAAATCTCCTCCAAACTGGATGTTCTGTGGAAATTGCCCTTCCTGCCTTGCTTTGTGATTGGTGAAAGTCACTTTTCCTTGGCAGGCCCCCAAACAGCAGTTTTGAGATGAGGTTTCAAGAATTTCTCTCTGTGGTAGAAATTTTTATGTCTTAAATTGCTTGAGCAGGAAATTGGGATTCTTTCCAGTGTCACTGTGAGTGTAGTACAGGCTCTAAAGAGAGGCCTGGAGGTGTTAGCTGAGGAGCAGGGAGGGTTTCAGGTAAGCAGGTGGTGTATTTACACCCTATAAAACACGAGCAACATCTGCTTTCTTCCTGCTGGGAAGTTAGAGATGTTCTTCAGTCACTAGAGCAGTTCCTAAATCAGTTTTTTGCCTTTGAGTTTGTATTTATTACTTCTCCAACTCCACCTGTGTGTTTTTCCTTGCTCAGCTCTGATGTCACTATGTCAGGATTTCACAGAGGTGCTTGGCTTCTCTGAGATTGTGAATTAGCATTTTTAACCAGCACTGAAACCACTTCTTTTTTCCCTCAGGACTTTTTCACAGGCACGTAATGTGGCTGTTCTGCTGCTATTCCTATTGGAAAATGTAGAATTTGCCTTTCCAAAGGGTTGAACAGTCAAGTTTCTGCAGAAGTCAACATGGACTGTGAGTGCTTGGAACTTCTGAAAATCAAGCCCTGAGTTGACAAATCAGAACAGTATCAAAACCAAACATTTAACAATGGAATTCAATCTGTAATGTTTTTGACTGGGGCATAATATTTCCAAAACTTCCAACACTTTCTGTCTATCACTATCTGGTATAAAGTGTGCATATTCTTTTCAAAATAAGCTATTTTTGTATAAATAAATGTCAGATTCTTTGATGTCTGTGAGACCTTGCTGTTCCCTGTCCCTCTTATGGTGAAACAAAGATTCATTCTGTGATTGCAGCAAATTGGAGGGAAAAAAAAAGAGGGAGGAACATCATTCATAGCAGGTATTTATGAAAGAAAAAATGTTCTTAAGTAATTCCCTTCAATGCTGGAGCTTCTTAATGCACAGAACAATATGCCCAACTAGCTGGAATTCACTTACAAGTCTGCTGCTTCAATCTCCTGATTTCCTCTGGCTTAAACTGCATGAGCAGGTGCAGAAAATTCCTGTCATGCGTGGGAATCTTGTAAGGATATCCCATTTCTTTGTGGGTAAATGGAGAGGGAATGGGGCTTCTCTAAGAAGTGAGAAACCTGCTGATTGCTCGGAAATCACTCCTTTTTCTCTTCTAAGAACATGGTAATCCCTTGAACATGGGAACACACCAACACACCTGGCACTTTTGCATGGATTGGAAGGTTTTGATGTGTTTTGAGAGCAGCTGCTGCTGCTTCCTTTGGCTCTGGCCGGGAGGGAAGCGCTGCCCGTGGCCGCCATGTGCTGCTGGCACGGGGCACGGGCTGGCTCTGATTCCTTCCCCTCTCTTTCCCAGCACATCTGCTTGGACTGTAAGAAGAACTTTTGCACATCCTGCTCAAACCAGCCCGAGGGTGGGCCCCTGCTCTGCCACCTCTGTCAGCGCTTCCGAGCCACGGCTTTTCAGCGGGAGGAGCTGATCAAGATGAAGGTGAAGGATCTGAGAGATTACTTGGCACTCCATGAGATCTCCACAGAGTTCTGTCGTGAAAAGGAGGACCTGGTATTCCTGATCCTTGGCCAGCAGCCTCCAATTACCCAGGAAGATCAGATAAGAACAAACACATTTAATACCAGTGCTCGTGGACAGCAAGACTTTGTGAGTCACCCCCCAACCAGCCTGGCCTCTCCTACCTCACACGAAGAGCCCTCAGTGTCTGCAGATCCCATCTCAAGTTCAGAAGCTCAGGAACACCAACAGGTACAGTCTCTGGCCAGAACCATCTTTTGCAAACTCATTCATCTCCATCTATGGATTTACCACTAGGCTGTTGGATGTGTTTTTGCTGTGTAAAGCTGTGACTTGCTGTCACTAACTTCAATGTGCCCTTCGTTATGGAATTGAATTTGGTGGGCAGTGCTGAATATATCAAGCATTCACTGTCAGGACATTATCACTGCTCTGGGGTGTGTTTCTTCTGGTGCTCTGGTCCACACTTCCATTGTTACACTACGCTTCTGTGGCTGCTTCCTTTGGTACTTGATGATGGCTTCTGACATGTGTTTGTAGGTGTAATTAAATTGTTGATACTGTTCTTTAATTCCTGTGCCAGATAACAAGCACAGTCTAAAGCAGTTTTGGAGCTGATCAGAGGTGATGGGGGGTGGGTTAGGTTTTTGGTGTCTCCAGCACTCAGATCAATAGAAGGCAAACCCTGAGTCTGTTGCCAAGTCTTGGTTTATGATGAACCTGCAGTTCTGATGAACCTTGGCAGGGGCATTTGAGCTTAATTATTTTTTATTGACCTTGCTTTGTTTGTCTTTCTGCTCCTGCTAAGGAAAGTTTACTCAGTGTTCGACATCTGCTCCTTGTCCTATTACAGAGTTAATGGGTGTATTCAGTTCCCTGTGGGCCAGAGCTGTGAAAATGTGTGTGCCTTCTGCTTCCTCAGCAGATATATCTGGTTCAAAAGAAGAGTTCTCCTGGGAAAATATTTTTTACAAATCATTAAAAGGCATTTTCATTCCCTGGTTTTCCAGTTTTTACCAGCTCTGCTGTCTTCTCTCACTGCCCCGTGATACATTTCAGCTTCTTGTCTCGACTTGCATGACATCCTGCTGCAGTTCAGGCTCTTTGATCCTGATTGTTATTCTTGAGCTCTGTAAATATTAACAAGTCCCCACTTGGATAAGTGGGATGGTAACATTACAGTCTCTTTGTCAGTAGGAAACCAGAGGGAAGAGTGGCTGCTGGGGGTGAGTCAGCTGAAATTACACTGCTCATTTGATTGAGTGTTCAAAGCAACTGCCCAGCTTTTCTTCTCCAGCTCCCTGGCTGCTGCTCCCTCACTCGGTGTGTCCTGTTTGCCCTCTCCAGACCCCAGCTGAGGAGGTGTTTGCCAGGTGACTGCAGATCTGGGCTGTGTTAGAGGAGGGTTCTGCAGAGCCTTGCACTGAGAGCTCTGCCATCACACCACAGCACAGAGTGACCCTCAGGGAAGGACTGCAGATACACACCCAACAATTTTAGTGCATAAATTTGGTCTCCTCCCGATCCAACCTGGAGTTCTGTACTGGGCCTTTAAAGGTTCAGCTTCTGCAATGTTACTTTGTGTGAGTGCTGCACAGGGAGAACCCTCTGTGAGTGTGCCTGGCTTGTGCCTCGTCCTGCCCGTGTCTTCCCAGAGATCAGGGACTGCAGGGACACTGCCCTGGAGTTGATTTCCTTTCACAGCTGGTGAAAGCTTTATTTCCTCTTCCAGGCCAATGGCCACGTGCCTCCGAGCCCAGCCTGTGGAACAGCAGCTGAGAATGCAGCAGAAGAAGCAGCAGCAGAGGACGAGACACAGGTTTGTGTGTCCTGGAATTGGATGGCAGGGAACACCAGCTTTCCTGGGCTGGATTTGCTGCCAGAGGTGAACAGTAACTGAGACTGCCCAAACCAAATCAAACTCTTGTGTGGCATCATCTTGTCCTCCACATGCAGAAAGAAATGGTGTCACTGCTATGGACACCACAGCAGTAAGGATTTAGTTCTATCTCAAGATTTGTGTTTCTGATAGATTAATTTGGAGTAGCCACTTCTCTGTACATCCAAACCTGAATTCCTGCTAATGCAGATGCTGAAAGTGCATTGAAGTCATAGTTCAAGGTCGTGAGGGCAAGAATGATTCCCTCTTTGCTCCCTCCCAGTCTAGTGACTCTGAGGATAACCTGGTGCTGGGCAGGAAGGCGTCTCTGTCTGACCTGACGAGCATCGGGGACATCAACGCGCTCTCGGTGCGGCAGCTGAAGGAAATCCTCGCCCGCAACTTCGTCAACTACAAAGGCTGCTGTGAGAAGTGGGAGCTACTGGAGAGGGTCACTCGCCTCTACAGAGAGAAGGACCTTCAACATCTAGGTAAGAAACTTAGCAAACATGGGCCTGTTTTCCAGGTTTAGCCATTTTATGGACAGCTGTAGAAGAAATATAGTACTTACATTTGCATTTCTGGTGCAGCAAAGTGAGGAGAAGGAGAGAGTTTTGTATAGAGTGAAAGGAGCAGAGCTCTACTCCCCACTCCTTGTTTGGGGAGAGTTCTGGGAGCCTGCAGCAGCACAAGGGCTGTGCATCCTTCACCCTTGGTGTTGTGTGTGCCCTGATGGATCCCACTGGGCACTGCCTCACCCTCACAGCAGCTGGTGGCTGGCTGGACATGACTGGATATGCTGAGCTCTGATCTCTGGGCTCGTGGCACCTGGCAAAGCCAGCAGGGAAATGCCACCAAAGAGCAGCTGGGAGACTGGGCCATGTGCTCAGAGCAGTGGCTCCAGGGCTGCCCAGCTGGGGGTAGCTGGGTTTCACTCTCACCACCAGAGTGTTCCTGCTGCACAGGTGGCTGGGAGGGAACACAGGTGCATAGAGAATATGTCTGGCTTGATTCTCCAGGTGCCAGTCTGCACTACAAGGGCATTTCTTAAAAAAAAAAAGTGTATTATTTACATATTTGTAAATTACTTACAAGAGAAACTTTAACACTTTGATTTCATACATTTGTTTCTCAGTGCTGTCCAAAGTAGTGTCATTTTCTTAAACCAGTCTCTCTAGGCTTTGTGGTGATCACCTGATATGGATGATCCAAGATTTAAGGCAGCAGCTTTGGGGTTATATTCTTTCATTATCTTGTGCTTTTGATGCAATTTGTCTTTTTCTTTCACTCACTGTGTGTCTGTGTTCAGTCACTTGGTGATTGTGTAACAGCAGCACAAGGGGATACTGCAAGGTACAGCACTGGGAAACCAAACTGCACACATTCCAAGGCTGTCTTAAAACCTGAGACATCCCTTTGGATCCCTTACCTCTGGGAAGCTTTAACTGTTCTGTAAGCTCAGTGTAGGAGAAAGTTTCTTGTCAGTTGTTGAAGCTGTGCTGATCAGAGCCCAGCCTGAGCCTCCCATGCTGATCAGCAAAAAGCATGTTTGATTTAACAACTCCTTCAAGGTTTTCAGCCCCTGCCTGGTAATTCTTACCAAATCCCTCTCTTCTTCTGTTGCAGTTTTGGACACTGATGATCAAACTGGTGAGTGAATCTTTAATCATGGAGTTGTTTATTGGGAAAAGCCCTCCAAGATCCAGTCCAACCAGTACTGCCAAGGCCAACCCTAAGCCATGTCCCCAAAAGCCACATCCACATGGCTTTTAACCCTCCCCCAGGGTTGTTTATGCCACCACTGCCCTGAGCAGCCTATTCCAGAGCTTGACAACCCTTTTGAAAATGGATATCAGGAAAAATTTCTACCTAAACCTCCCTGGCATAACTTGAGGTCATTTCCTCTTGTGCTGTTACTTGGGAAGAGAGACCCATGTTGCTTCATTTGCCTCATCACTAAGAATCTCAGTGGTATTTGTTTCCATCTCACAGAAATTAGAATAATAGACATGGAATAATTGGTGTAAAAGCTAAAACTTGTGCTCCTTGCCAGCTGATGGAGCAGCCACAAGGGGAATTCCTCTGCAGCCCTTGTCCCTGAGGGAATCCCTTCAGCAGAGCCAGCTGGGATTGCACAAACCCACCTCACCTCTCTTTGTCTGACCACCCCCCGTGCTCTCCTGTCCCCCCAGGCGGTGCTGGGCCCCCCAGCAGCGAGGACAACCTGTGCAGGATCTGCATGGATGCTCCCACCGACTGTGTGCTGCTGGAGTGCGGGCACATGGTGACGTGCACCAAGTGCGGGAAGCGCATGAGCGAGTGCCCCATCTGCCGCCAGTACGTGATCAGGGCCGTGCACGTCTTCAGGACCTAAAGGTGCCTCTGGCTCAGGGTGCTGTGCCTTAAAGCCTCAGTGCTCTTAGGGAAAGGGCCAACATCCCTGCCAATAGTTACCCTGGAGATTAGCACAGACCCCGCTGCAAGGGAGGGGAAGGAGGAGGCCTGGGGAAAACTGCTCTGCCCAAGCCATGCCCCGTGTGCTCATCCCGCCGTCGTGCTTTACACCACAGTGCCTGGACTCGTTGGAGCTCATTGCCAGCAATCATTAACCGCCTCCATCCTAGGATAATTTGAGGACACAAGGATGCCCAGCTTTTCCACCAGGAAGATCGGATCCAGAGGCTTTGTATTTTCCTCTGAATAATAAAAGTGAACTGGGGTCTCAAAATGTGTCCTTTGTTTTGCTGCTCAGGCTATGCTCAGCAACAACTTGATTTTCAAAGATTAAAATGTCACTGTGCTTGTTAATTTTAATTTAATGTAAAATTGTTATGCTTGCAGGACAGGCAGCCCATCCCTGCTTTCCCTAATTCTAGCCTAGTGCAGTTGTGGAAAAATGTGTAATTTTATATCAAGGTTATCTTTGTATTATTGCAAACTGTTGGGGAGGGAGGCTGGGAAGGCTCAGCCTTGCCCTGTGTGCTGGATTTTTGTTTCTGTGCCAGAGGGACGTTTCTGGTTTGATTTTGTCGACTTTGACTTCACAGCATGTGCCAGAGCTGGGGCTCAAACTGAGCTGCCCTTGCTGAGGGGAGTTACTAATCCAAGGTTTGAGTATTCCCCAGGGTTTACTGGGGAAACCAGAGAGCTGCAGAGTCCTGAGGACTCCACTGCTACACAATCATATTTAAGTACAGGTGACTTTTTCTTTTTTTAGAAGGGAATCATTTGTCTCCAGTGGATCCACGAGCAATCTCCACTGCCAATCAGCTTCTCCCAGGGCCCAGTTCTACGGTTCTGTTACCTTCCACTGCTTACCAAAAGCAATTTTGTCCTTTCTGCTGGTGAGGGTGGGGAGAGAGGCTGTGGCCCGATCCCTGACAGCTCTCCTGGGCCGTGTGTGGAGCTGGAAGAGACTCGCTAGAGGAGTCTGGCAGTTGTTGCAGGAGCTGACTGTAACTGGTGCTGCTCCACAGCCAAGCTTCAGCATCCTGCTGCCCTCAGTGTCCAGCAGCAGGGCACTGTGCCCTCACTGCAGCACAGCTTTCCTGGCTGCTCTGGGCACAGGGGATGACAAAGCCAGAGAGGAGCTTGCAGGGAGTCCCCTCACTGCTCCTGGGGCACTGAAGTGCAGCACCAGAGCTCCTGTGCAGTGGAATCATGGCAGCAGCACATTGCCCTCGTGTGTTCTGAGCAGGGCCAGTTCCAGGAGCAGCAGCTCAGCTGCAGGGAGCGCAGGGTCTTGGCTCTGGGAGCTGCAGCTGTTTGCCCCTGAGATGAGAAATCCATGGAGCAGGAGGCAGCAGGAGAGAGCCATGGACTCATCACTGAAGTGGTCTCAAAACTCCATAAAACTGCAGCTCCCTGAACTCAGCATTCTGAGTTCTGCTCTGTGAAAGGTCAGGCTGTTCTTTAATATTTGACTTAAGGTTTAGCAGATCCAGCACCAGAACAAACTGAGTCAGAGCATCACAGAAAAAAGGGCAGGTAAGAAGTGACTCTGCCCTGGAGAGGGCACAGCGACCTCGAGGAGCTGCAGGAATACACAGAGTGCTGAACAGCCTCATTTAGGAAATTCACTGTGAAAATTCATGTTATTATATTTTTCAATAAACTCAGGGCTGGGGGAATTTAGCAGGAAGAAAATGATTCCCCTATGGATAGATGTACTTTTCCTTGTTGAGGGTAGGCTTATTTTCTACAGCAGATAAATCAAGCTGCAGATCAATGCCTGTAATTTTAGGGATGAGAAGATCCAACCACCCTGTGACTCTAAAATGTATTTGTGAAGGGAGGACTCTTCTTGTTTCCCTTGTAAAAATGGCTTCTCTACTTATGGATACGAGTGAGTTGTTTTTTAAAGGAAAATCAAAACCTGGAGGAAACTGATTAATGATCCAAAGGAATATAATGTTCTGAACTAATAAAGTAAATGGAAATATTTATGTGCTTTATGTACACTGTTTCAAGATTTTAAAAGTTAATATTCTACTTGAAAGGGCATGTTATTCACTATTAAATCCTCTGGTACTATGACAGTTAAACTTACTAGTTTTGGTACAGAAGTTTGGTTTATAATTTTATAATAAAGCTGAAATGTGATTGAGTTAGCTTTGTTTCTGACTCTGTTACAAGCAAAGATCCTACAGCTACTGCTGGACCTCAGCCAGAAATTGGGATCCCAGATGCTGAAATGTTGTTAGTGGGGGGTACAGAAGAGGTGGAAAAAGATTACCTGACAACACAAATGACCTTTGCACCACAGCCAAGAGTCCCATGGGCTGCTGGTCCATTTTCCTGAACAGGAAGAGAAGAACCTTTGGAAAGTGAGTCCTGACAGCAAAGGAGAAGCTGCTTCGGTTTTATTTCTTTATCTATAAAAATACCCAAACTTTAAAAACCCAAGGAGCCTAAAGCAGCACCTGGATAAGGGCGGTGGTCTACAGTAGGGGCAGGAAAAGGGGATTCAGCAGGGACATTTCTTCAGAGAACTTTTTTAATTCATTCCATAGGGTTGCTCTGGAGCCTTGTAGCTACTCCTGAGGGCGGTTCCTGTCTATCCACATCCCCACGGAGGAGTCTCCCTGTCCCTGTTCCCAGCTCTGCTAGCACGGGGCCACCAGCCTGCGCTTCCGGATGCACTCCCAGATCCACCTGGGAGTCACCCGCTGCGCCCCGGGGTTGTCATCAATGTCCCCAATCACGTGGGTGGCCGAGGCCGTGTCGAACTCCTCCACCAGGTCCCCGTCGAAGGCGATGAAGTAGCGGCGGATTCGGTCGAAGTCCTTGACGGAGGGCGCCAGGTAGAGCCTCACCCCCGTGAAAATGTCCAGCAGTGGCTGCTGGGGGGGAAGGAGAAGCAGAGCTTGGGCAAAACATTCCTTGGAATGGAAGTGAACAGAGCAACTGCCTCGGCCTCCCCCACCCCGCCGTGGTGCTGTCCTGGCCCCCCCTGTACCTTTTTTCCATTGTCCTCCATCTCAGATGCTTTTCTCTTCTCCCCTCGTTTCTCCTCGCATTTCTGAGGGGATCCAATCACTGCTTTGCTCTCTAAAAACAGAAATTTGGCTTGTGCATGTGCTCTGTCGAGATACTGGTTGTGTGTTAACATTGGGGGAGAGAGTAAAGAGCAGAAAGGAAAAGTTTCCTCCCCTGTTTCTGGAAATCCATGAATTGCTGCCACTAGTGAGACACATGTTTCTACTGGAAATGGTGTGGGGCAGCCTCCTGCCCCATTCCCACGCTGCTGCTCCCAGCTGCCCTCCATGCTGTCACCACTCTGTCCTCTGTGAAACTGCTCAGCAATCTGCTCCATGTTCCAGCTCAATTCACCTGGAAATCACCTCCAGCCACGTGTCCCTCTATACACACAAATTCCATCCAAATCAAATTAAATGCTGGCTCATGGCCAACAATCTCTAACCAAAGGCTGTGACCTGCAGAAAGGGGAGCACTGAACACCTGAACAGCATCATCAGAGCTGTTTCCATCCAACTTTTCCCAATCCCAGGACACCTTGGAGCCATGGCTACTCAATTCATACTGGGCCAAACCAAGGATCTGACCAGCTTTGCCCATTATCCCTGAGGTCCATGTGAAAAGTGGGATCATCAAGGATCCAGAGCCAGCCTGCCCCAAGCACAGAGGACACAGCCCCAGGCTCCTTCCTGAAAGCCCCATCATCTTACCTTCTGCCTTCTGGGCTTTTGCAGGTGACTTGCTTGGGGGACTCTTAATACTGCTGTGAGGTGTGGAAGACCTGGAATTCCCATCATTCTCTCCACTGCTGCCAGCTGTGGACTCGTCTTCCTCCCCAGCTGTAACATTGAAATCAGCCTTCTCCTTGGAGAGCTGGTACAGCTCCTGCCCAGCAGAAACAGCACTGATCATGTCTGACACTGACACGAGCTGGGATGCACACACTGCTCTGGTTTTCTTCCCCCTGAAGTGTTTGCCCAAAAGCTTTTTCCTCCTGCACCTCTCCAGTCATTTTCCTGCCAACTCTGTCCCAGCTCCCTGCATTCCACCCTCTCCTGGCATTAAGGGAAGCCACGCAGGGAGGAGCAAAAGCCACATCCACATCAACTGCTACAGAGCCAGAGCCTGATTCACCAGAGCCTGAGGATGAGCCCAGTGCTCACTGTGGGAAGGGCCCATCTGCAGAGGGGCTTATTCCCCTCTCCTCCCCATTGGCAGGCCCTGGGGGCTGCATCACTCCTGCTCCACAAGCAGCCCTGGCAGCTGCTGCCAGCCCCAAACTGCAGCAACTCCCCCGAGCAGAGCAGCCCCAGCTCTCCCACTGCCAGGGCTGGGCTCCTGCCCCTCAGCACAGGAGGGTGAGGGGTGGCTGCAGCCTGGGCTCCTGGCCGGTGCCACGTGGCCCCTGTGCCCCAGGACACCCACAGGCACTTCCCAATGCCTCTCCCAGTCTCAGCAACCGATGGGAAGCTGAGTGAGCCTGGAGAGAACAAAGGTCTGCCCGAGGAGCTGGGGGAGTCACTGTCCCTGGAGGTGGCACTCAGTGCCGTGGCACTGTTGATGAGGAGGTGTCAGGTCATAGGCTGGATTTGATCTCAAAAGGTCTTTTCCAACTGACCTAACCCTGTGATTCTGGGGTCACCTCTGAGGAAGGCAATTCCTCAGCCTGTCACAAGAGCTGATGGAACCAATTCCAGCAGAGACTTCTCTGACAGCCACACCACCACAACAGCTCAGGGGACCTTGAGCCTCCACAGCAGAACAACCCAGCCTGGGCCTGGCACGAAGGGAGAACGGGAGGTGCCATCACAGGCAGCCTTCAGTGCACGCTGTGATTTGTGTGTGAAGCACAGACTGGTGCCAGGGGCTGCCCCCCACGCTGACCCACCTTCAGCTGCTGCAGGTTGGTGGCTGTCTGCCAGTCCTTGTCGTCGCGGATGCGGGTGCAGCGTGGGAAGCGGATGGAGATCCCGTCCGCAGTGTGGGCCTCGGCCTTGGAGAACTCGGCCCCCGTGATCTCCCACACTGGGGCTTTCTAAACACAGCGAGAAAGCCACGTCACATCCCTGTGTCCTCCCAGGAACCAGCTCCAAGTGTCTCACCCCCACTCATCTCCACCCCAGCTCAGTTCCACAGACACAAACTGACCTTCCTGCTCGACTTCATTACAAAATCTACTTTTTACTGAGCCAGAAATCCTTCTCTGACACAAAATGCCAATTTCTAAGTAACACCTTCTCCTTCAGGCATACAGAGCATACTGACACATTCCCTGCAACAACAGCAACTTCTGGGTTGCAGTTGTGTTTCAACCCTTTAAAACTTCTCATAGCTCAAATTTAAAGTAAGCTCACTTCTGGAAGGGATTTAATGCACAAGAATATTTCCCAAAACTGCTGCAGGTGTGATTTCTTCATGAAGCTCTTAGCCTCAAATGCACCTGCAAGATTGAGAGATAAAAACTTGTGCTTAATTTCCCATTCCAAGTATGAAGATTCATTTTGTAACAGAGACAACTTCTAAGTTGCCCTTCTAAAAGATTTATACAAGATTGCAGAACAAGGGCTGGGAAATGTTAAATGATTATGAGAGCACTTACCTTTGGATCTGGGACAATGAAGTCTGGGTAGTAGATTTTGTTAATTTTTAGCCACCTTGGAATTTTACTTGGATCCTATTAATTAAAAGCACAAAATTAAAATCACTGTGCGACACTTATCATCATAATTCACTTAATTCTACAATAGAAGCTGCTGAAACACAACCTAGAAGTAGATCAGCATGGAAGGATTTACATTGCCTTTGCACTGATCTGCAGCCATTTCTCTCACCTAAAAATCACAAATATTGCCTGAAACACAGCCCTCAATTCCTGTCATTCTGTGTGTGAAACAAGAACAGTTGCTCCAATTGTGATTCATGTAAAACTACCCATTTTTTTTTTTAAAGATTCTACAACCTTGATGCAAATGACCTTCAGGATGTCATGGTAATATTAAAATTCAGCTCTCTGGAAAAATAAAGAGTATTGAAAAGCAAGATAAATCTTTCACAGAAATCTTAACTCCAACCCCAGGTTATGGAGCCACAGACCAGAGTCTGACCGAGCACTTCCCTCCCACAGCCCCATCTAGTGACTGCCTTTGCCAATCACAACGTGCCCAAAAACCCAGAGAAAAATTTGGTATCTTCCCAACAAAACTTTGTCCTAGCAGGAAACAGATGGTGCCTGGCTTCCCACTCAGTGTCTGGGTACAGATCCCAGGCAGTGCCTCCTCCAGGAGCTGCCTGCTCTGACACCTCACTTGTGCCAAGTGGTTGATGTGCTTTAACTCTGACTCATTGCTGGCAGGGCACTTCCACCCTGCAGCACCTCAAGGGCAGCTGAGCCCTTTGCTGAGCACCCCTTGGCTCCCCCCTCTCACCTTGCTGATCTTCACCATGTCCAGCTCTGTCTGCAGACGTGCCAGCGTGGCGTCATCGTGGCCACCAGAACACTTGGTCACCGTGCACCACTTCTCACTCTTGGGGTCGTAGCAGCCCATGAGGAAGATGGACATCATCCCACCTGCACAGGGACAGCAGGGCTCACACCTTCCACAGCACAAGCTTTTCTGAGCCAAAACCCTTTTCCATCTCTGGGAGTCAAAGGGGCCTGGGCTTGTGATGGTTGCAGGGCCACTCACAGAGCTGAACAGAGCCCCTGCACTGCGCAACAGCTCAGCCAACACCTCCAGCTCTGCTGTGCCAACCAACCCACAGCAATCCCACAGCAAGGACGTGATGGGCTGCAGCATCACTGCTCCAGCCACTCTCATTCTGGAGCCCAGAAACAAGAAAACCTTGGGAACTCCTTGAACAGACAGATCTCTGACTTAAGCCAACTCTTACCTTTACTGCCCTGTCCATAGAAAGCCCCCAGCACCACCAGGTCAGCAGTGTCAGCCATTGCCCCCTCGTTGAGATAATCCTTCTTCACCTTCAGCCAGTGGCGTTTCCCTGGTTCGTAATTTCCCTGTGCAAAGGAAGGCAGAGCCCCCTCAGAGACATCCCCTGGTGGGCAGCAGCTCCTCACACAGCCCTGGCCTTTACCCAGCACAGGAGGAGCAGCTTGGACTGGATGTCAGCATTGAGAGGAACACAGATGTTTCTAGAATGTTCAGTGTGTGATTCTGTCTCAGAGCTGACTCTGTCCATTGCCATTCCCCAATTCCCAGCTTACACCAGCACAGAGTGAATGGGAACTTGCCTTTAAATCCTTCAGCACCAGCCCTTCCAGCCCCTCCCGGATGACTCGGGTGATCATGTCTGCCAGATCTGAAGCTTTCTGCAAAGGAGACAGATCGTGGTTAGCTCAGGACTGGAAAAAGGCCTGAGGTCTTGAGGCTTTTTGTTTGGACCAGTGGTGCACTAAACCTAAAGCACCTGCAGAGGGAATACTTTTTCTTAATATTTCATAATACTTTTCCAAGGAGAATCCTGTACATTTTCTCCTTGCTGCACATCCAGTAACCAAGCAGGGATTATGTCCCCAGAAGAGAAGGTCTGTCTGGTTAAAAAATACAGAGATGTGGCCGTCCCACTGGCTGTGTCCCAGTACGTCCCATATCAGATTTGCTCAGCCAGCAGTGACTGCTTCCTGCTCCAGCCAACTGCCCTGGGACCTCTGAACCTCCTTTCTGCCCAAAATGTCCAAGCATTCTCCACCAAAGCCAAGGAGACACAGGAATCACCAGCAATGGGGAAAATAAGGGGACATCAGGCTTGTGCATAATCAAAACCTCAGCATTCTGCTGCCTAAGTGCAGGCTTTAGCAGCCAGGATGTCTCAGGGCTGCCAGTTTGGGAAGTGGCACAGTCTGGCTGCCTTCAACCACACTGCAGTCACAGCTCAGCACTGCTCAGCACAGACTGACAACAAGATTTAACTCCTCCTAGCAGGATCACAGTGACAATGGCTACAAAATCATTAACAAGCCAGAAAACCTGAGGTGTGCAAGTTAAGATTACACTGAAGGGGTTGGGCCCAGGAAAAGATGGGAATACAATGTTGGCTCAAGAAGTCCTGCACACAGAGCAGAAGGAGAACCATTTTGCCAGGGTGAACTTGCAGAGGTAATCATAAAGCTAAGTGCTGGAGGAGCAGGGTTGGGGTTGTAAGGGCACACTGAACTCACTGTGACGTGTTTCATCTCTGAGAACAGGATCCTGTTAGGGATCTCCACCATGTTGTCGTGCAGGAACTTGCGCCGTTCACACAGGGGCCTGGAGCAGGGCATGGAGAATGAGGGACAAACAGCAATCCCAACAGGAACATTGAAAAAAGCTGTTAGAGTCATTAAATTATTCATCCTAGAGAGTTCCAGAGAGGACAACTAGTTCTCATGTTCCTCCAGAAAGTGATAAAATGGAAATTCCAATGTTAACAGTGTGCTTAGAGGATGTAAGATGAGCAGCTGAGATTCCCCAGTAATCCTGAATCCCAGTATTTTGGGGAGCAAGAGGAGCTCCAGAGGGAAACTCCTTGGCATGGCAAGGTCCCTCCCACACTGCCCTGGTTTCCCAGTGAGTGACCAGTCTGAGAGCCCAGGTGAACTGGTCTGTCTGCACCAGTGGGGTTTTCCAGCCAGTTCATCCCAGGAAACCAGCCCAGCCACTCTCCCCTGGCACACACACCTGTCCATCAGGCTGATGTCATTGAAGTAGATGCAGTCAAACACAAACAGGCAAACGTTGGCATCCTGGAAAGCAGCTTTCTGAAATATAATTAATAGAATTCTGCAGTCACAGCAAACAGTTTCAGCAAAGCAATAAAAGGAAGGATTTTTATCTCTGTAATATTTTAGTTATGATAAGCTTATGCTTCTTCTAAAAGAAGCATTCTGAGAATTAAGATTTACACCGAATGTGTCCAAGCACAAGCTAAGAAGATAAAAAATGTTCATTTCCTAGGAATGGGAAATAATGCTAAAAATATTAATGGCTCAGGGCAATGCAACATCTGTCACTACTGCTGCAAAAATCCCACCACATTTCTACAGACAGCAGATTAATGGCTACTTTTTAACTTAAGCACTTATAGCTTAATTTTCATTTTCCTGTCCTCTTCCTCACCCCCATTCAGTCTAGACACAGGCACTACATAACACTTACATGGAATAATCACTGCATCCTTGTGCTCTCCCAGGCTGCCATACATTGCTCAAGCCATGAGAAACAACAACACAATTGCAAGATTTTCCAAAGGTTTTTTTAATATTATTGTAATATTAATTTAAAAGTAGTATTTTAATATTAATATCTTGGAGATGAGTCCTGCCAGTGATCAAGCTAATATCAAATCTAATGTATTAGAGCAGTAGCTTTTCCATATCAGCTTCTCAATAATCTTATTTTTTCCCCAGATGCTCTAACAAGCACCAGGGATCTGAAATTATCCTGTGATAACACAGACTAACAGCCACCAAACATGAAAGAACAGTTTTATTTAATTTTTTTTTACCTTGTGCACACCAAGAGTCCCAAAAGGAAGTGGCTTGCCAGTTTTATTGTCAATCAGGAGAACTTCTGAATCCAGGATCATACTTTGCCCACCAGGGAAAGCCTGGGGGATGAAATCCTTAAAATGGGCTACCTTGGGAAAAGGAAAAAAAAGAAGAAAAAAAGAAAAATAACTGAAGAGTGGGATTCATTCCAAAGCAGGTGCTTTCTCCACAAGTATCTGAGGCACATGTGGCACATCTGCACTTCTATGGTAACCACAGCAGTCTACAAACAGAAAAATGAGGCTTTAAGAAACAGAACCAAGTCACTCAACCAAGGCTCCCAAAATGCAGTGCATAGAGAGGATTCTACAGCCGACAGATGAAATTTAATTTCAAGCTCTTAATGTGCACCAGAATTAAATGATTACAGTTTTAAGTGTTGCCTTCCCACATTCTACACATCTCTATAAATTATGAATAAGTCTGCAAGAGAAGGAATCCTCCTTGCCTGTAGAAGGAAACTATTGGGAATGCAGTGGAGAAGCTGGCACGAGGAGCAGTGCTCAGGTGCTTACTTTGTGGGGGAGCACAGGTTTGAGGCTCCTGCTGAAGTAGCTGAAGTGATCCCCGTTCTTGTGCACCTGCACGCGCTCGCCGTCGTACTTGATCTCGGCGTACATCCCGTTGGGACACTTCTTCATGGCGTACTCGATGGACTTGCAGGCCTCAGCCTGGGGGAGACAGGGGCAAACGCTCAGGAGACACGTGGAAAATAAAGCTACTCTTACCTAAGTTCATGAATGAGCTATGGTGAATTCCCCTGTAGAGCTTTTTGTACAGAACCTCTGTTAGCAAGTCCACGTTTTCCTTAATTATTCACTTGGAATCATCTGCATATGCCCAGATAATTACAGCTTTTCAGTGCTTATCCCCTCCAAATGCTTTAAAATGTGCACTGTGCCTTCTGTAAGAGTGTTCTCAGCCCAGAAGTAAATATTTAACTCTGCTTTGTTCACACAAAAAGCCAGGCTTATTTGAATCTCTAATCCACTGGAAAGCTTACACTATTTCCAAAGAATCAACTTCTGCAGTGACAGCAAATAAATACAAAAGACTGAGAGCAAGACTAAGAACAAGGCAAGGTTTTAGCTTGGCAGTGGCACTCAAGGTGCAGGTCCTGAGTGTATTGAACACTTGGCCTGGTGGAGGGAGATGCTTTCTAAATTGGCATTAAACAACACTGAGCCCTGCACAGCCACTGCCCTGGCTCCTGACCCCCCCAGCTGGGGGTTAAACTGCCCTGAGCCCTGCACAGGCACTGCCCTGGCTCCTGACCCCCCCAGCTGGGGGTTAAACTGCCCTGAGCCCTGCACAGCCACTGCCCTGGCTCCTGACCCCCCCAGCTGGGGGTTAAACTGCCCTGAGCCCTGCACAGGCACTGTCCTGGCTCCTGACCCTTCCAGCTGGGGTTTAAACTGCACTGAGCCCTGCTCAGCCACTGCCCTGGCTCCTGACCCTTCCAGCTGGGGTTTAAACTGCACTGAGCCCTGCACAGGCACTGTCCTGGCTCCTGACCCTTCCAGCTGGGGGTCTCTGCTCCGTGTCTGGCTGCCAGGAAGGGANCCTTGGCATGGCAAGGTCCCCCCCACACTGCCCTGGTTTCCCAGTGAGTGACCAGTCTGAGAGCCCAGGTGAACTGGTCTGTCTGCACCAGTGGGGTTTTCCAGCCAGTTCATCCCAGGAAACCAGCCCAGCCACTCTCCCCTGGCACACACACCTGTCCATCAGGCTGATGTCATTGAAGTAGATGCAGTCAAACACAAACAGGCAAACGTTGGCATCCTGGAAAGCAGCTTTCTGAAATATAATTAATAGAATTCTGCAGTCACAGCAAACAGTTTCAGCAAAGCAATAAAAGGAAGGATTTTTATCTCTGTAATATTTTAGTTATGATAAGCTTATGCTTCTTCTAAAAGAAGCATTCTGAGAATTAAGATTTACACCGAATGTGTCCAAGCACAAGCTAAGAAGATAAAAAATGTTCATTTCCTAGGAATGGGAAATAATGCTAAAAATATTAATGGCTCAGGGCAATGCAACATCTGTCACTACTGCTGCAAAAATCCCACCACATTTCTACAGACAGCAGATTAATGGCTACTTTTTAACTTAAGCACTTATAGCTTAATTTTCATTTTCCTGTCCTCTTCCTCACCCCCATTCAGTCTAGACACAGGCACTACATAACACTTACATGGAATAATCACTGCATCCTTGTGCTCTCCCAGGCTGCCATACATTGCTCAAGCCATGAGAAACAATGACACAATTGCAAGATTTTCCAAACATTTTTTTAATATTATTGTAATATTAATTTAAAAGTAGTATTTTAATATTAATATCTTGGAGATGAGTCCTGCCAGTGATCAAGCTAATATCAAATCTAATGTATTAGAGCAGTAGCTTTTCCATATCAGCTTCTCAATAATCTTATTTTTTTCCCCAGATGCTCTAACAAGCACCAGGGATCTGAAATTATCCTGTGATAACAGATTAAGTCAGCAGACTAACAGCCACCAAACATGAAAGAACAGTTTTATTTAATTTTTTTTTTACCTTGTGCACACCAAGAGTCCCAAAAGGAAGTGGCTTGCCAGTTTTATTGTCAATCAGGAGAACTT